CGACGGGTCGCCCCTCTAGGTCAAAAGGTCTGAATGCGTGTTCTATGTCAGTATAAGCAAGCCGTGGTCCTCGCGGCCTGGCATGTGCTGTCAATTCCCAGACACCTGGGTCCCTGCTGGCAGATGCGCCTGCGCTCCCGCTGGGTATACGGGTGGTGGGCAAGGTTGCCCAGTCATCATCCTCGCTCCTCTGACCCACATTGGGGCGATGTTGTTGTCGACGTTACGTCTGCTGCTGTTCTTGGTCAAAGAACCTGATCATTTGCTGTGTGGAGTGGAACGCGAAGGTGCGGGCTCGATCGCGCCATCCACCTGCGCCCTCGCTTCCAGTTTTCTTGACTCTGTCCAAACACTGTCTTCAAGTTGGAGATGGGGAAGAGAGACTGCGGTAGATACTGCGCAAGCCTGCTGTCAGTATAAACTAATTAACGCGCAAGTCGCCGTGCCTGCCACACACTGATGTGTAGCACATGGTGGACGCGGTCGAAATCGACGGTCGAACTATCTTATAGGCCTGATGATCAATCATTTAAACAGTATCGGTATGTTGCGCCAAGTGTAAACTGTCGCCGCCGACACAATCGTGACTATGTGTGCGGTATTGTCTCAGCAAATGAATGGCTTGTCTGCGTTTAAATGATTCAATAGTTTTGGAACGAATCCTCCCCTTAGGGAGTTCATTCCAGTTGCGAATGACTCTCTGCGAGAAGACGCTCCGTCGGACGTCTGTATGGACCAACTTCCTTTGTAATTGTAATGAACGACCACGCAGACCGCCCGTCCCAGCCAATTCGAAAAAGCAGTCAATGTCTAGAGTACACTCACGACTTCTCACAATCCGGTAGGTTTATATGTGGTCGCCGTGCAGTCGCCTACAGTCGAGAAGAAACTGATTTAGCTAAGTCAGTCTGTTTTCGTAAAGCAGATGACCAAGCTTGTTGGCCACCTTTGTCGCCCTCGCCTGTATTTTTTCCAGCCGTTCATTATCCTTCTCGAACCACAGTCGCCAGGCATGTACGGCATACTCTAAACTAAACCGAACAAAGGCCCTGTGGGTTTTTTCCAAATAGCTCTTTATTGATCTGCATAAATACCCGCCTCGATGCAAATAACACCCGCATCGCGTGTTTGGCTGCCCTTAGACACTAAAACGATGGCCTTAGTGAGGATGTCGTTAGGACGCCGATGTATTTCTATGCTGAAAAATGTGAAAGGGGCTACCCATCGAGGAGATATCGGAAGGAATAATCCTCCTCACTGGTCCCTCTTATGAGGGGTTGCCGCACCACACATTTGACCACATTAAAATCCAGGAGCCAACGAGGTGCCAGCCGCAGTGTCTGCTGAGACTCTCTCGAAACGCATGCCTGTACACGTCAGATCTAGTGGCTGCCCTAAGTTTAGCATCGTCAGCAAACGCGCCGGCGCTGAATCTTAGGTCGTCAACACAGTCGTTGGAGCAAACTAGAAAGAGCGACGAACCTAAGACTGAGCAACTGCCGTATTTTAGTACAGAATAATTTCCATCCAATACCACTTCACCTCGCCCTGCCAAACTCTTTTATAACGCAATTATGTTACTTTATTGTCTTTGCCCAAGAGCTGTCTTTTTCGTTTGCTGTGCCTTATGCGGCAGGCGTATTGGTACTCCCGATTTCCTTTTAAAAGAGCGTTTGTAGGTCGTTAGAAGTCTGTCACTGACAATCTCGGTTTGCGTATCGATCTAAGGAAAGAGGTTCTCTCCGCACATTTTATTTTAGGACCATGTAGCTGCTCGACTTAGTATTCAATTCAATTCAATTATTTTTATTAAAGACCCGTCGGGGTCCCATCAAAGCAAGTAAAAATATATTTACATGCGAATTTTAGACGGGGTAGGCAAAATCTGTACAAAGTGCAATACATCGTTTTTGAGATTAGAAGTCCGTTAAGCAAAATGAAAATTAAAAAAACGAGGGGTGAAAAAAAACTCCAAAGCAAAATTTAAAAATGATTGTAGTAATTTAACAGGAGATAAAAAAAACCCTCAGAAAACTAGCATCAGAAAAATACAGGGGGGACTGGCCTGCATGTGGCGGTACAGAATGGAATATAGTCCGACATTAACATGGCCGAAGTAAATGTCAGCTGTATATGGCATTGTGTAACGGATTTCATAAAATAGTACGAAGGCGGGTCGGTCAGGACTGGCCTGTATCGCATTGAATAAGAAAAATAAGTGGCGAAATTGAAAACCAGTCTCAAGCTGATAGGAACCCAGATGCGGTCGGTTTCATTCAACCGAGTCCATCCGAGCATGGGGGGAGATGCGACCAGACTACTAGTATATGGCGAATATAGAAGGCTTTGTCAAGGCTGCCGATGGAGCGCATTCTGTAAGGGCACGATAACAACCAGTCTCGAGGCGACAAGAACCCAGATGCGGTCTGTTACATTCATCAGAGTCCATCCGAGGATAGGGCAAAGGAGATCCGACCAGATTACTAGTATATGGCGAATATAGAAGGCTTCGCCAAGTAACGCTCTCCCACAAAAAAGTTTTTGCCTGAAAGTCAAAAATTTCAGTTTACGTTTAGAAGGATACGTTGGGCACCGTTTTTAATCATTATTTATTCCATATAATATGGCGTCCATATGCTTTTTTAACAAATATTTTTCCACAAATATATGGACCGCCCGCTGACGAAGGAATTCATTGCTTATTGTGTGATCACAGATATATCTTCTGGCCGTGTGCATATTTCGCAATTGTCCACTACTTATTACGGATAAATTACCTCTTGTCACTAGTTTGCGCCCATTATTCTATGCCGAGAAGTAGGTAGTGTTGCGTGGGACATCCGTCGGTGCACTAAGGCACCAAATGGTTGGGTCAGCTTCAGCAAGGCATTGGTGGATTTCAGTGTGCCACATTCGAAGATGACCAAAAAGTTGTTTGTGGCGCCTTGTCGAAGACTTTGCTCAGACTGAAGTAGATAACTACCCCTAAGAACTACTCATTACGAAAAGAATCGGCTAGATTAAGAAAGGATAAGTGGCACGTTTCGTAGGATCTTTGAGGTAAAAATCCATGCTGATTAGAGCTCCGGAACTGACTATCTAGACAAAAATCAAGAATTTCATTGAAAATTATCCCTTTAAGAAGTTTAGCTAGAGACGCGGTTTGGTACATGTCCCGATAGTTATAAACATCGGACCGAGATCCAG